CGCAGCTCCCGCCCCTTGCAAGAGACATAATATATTACATGAGAAACCACGCTCTGAAGCTTCCAGTGAACAACCAGAGACGCCTTCAAAAACCGGAGGCAGTTTTAGCAACTTTTGAGGGAACCAAGGCTAGTAGCCCGTTCTCCACCGGTGGGAAAAGGCGCATCGCCTATCAAGCTGAAAAACGCTTAAGTTGTTTTGTTTGCCTGAATGCTATTGCACATCCAATTAGGCGAGGGTTTGAGGGAGCCCTTTTTGGATAAAGGAGAGTTTTGAGACAAACCCACTGCAGCTTTGGGCTGAGCTCTTGGCCCCTTTCCGACTCTGGCTTTCGGGCCTTAGAAGGAATCCCAAAGGAAATTGATGATTTATGCTTTTTCGCGACCTGCCCCCCCCCCCCCCCCCCTCGCCCCCCCACCCACTTTTTTGGCACCCAGGTTGGTGCTTTGTGTTTCTTCGTTATCCGCGTTGGACGCATACTTGCTCACACATTGGTCACCTGTCGCCCATCAGGAGCCTTCACGGTAAGGTGCCCAGCCGCGATGGTCCCAAGGCGCGTTGATAGTCCTCAAGGGGTTGTGTTTGAGAATTTTGCCGGTCTGTTGGAAACCCCTAGAACGATTTTATGGGGGATGGTCCAAACCCAATGAATGATTGAGTGAGCTGAATGAGAAGAATGGTTCTTCTGGTTTACAGTACATATGGACTATACCGAGCTTGGGGGACACAACCTGACCCATGAAGATGTTTTCTTCTTTGGATTTGATTTTTCCCAGTGCGAGTTTGGTAAGTTGTGCAGCTTCATGTGTGAACGTTCAATATCTCATGGGCGAGAGTTGTGTTGGTTGTGCCGGACGCCACACGTGACGAACATGCGCTGTTTGGTGGCCTGTTTGTCTGAAACTGCCTGTCTGTCCGTCTGTCGCAGAATCCCGTTGCTTTTTTCACTTTGAGGGGCCCAGTTCATGCTCTGCCAATCAACCCGGAATCCCAAATAGGGTCTTTTCGCCAACCCTCTAGACATGAATCGACTTCTCGCGTTAGCGTGAAGGGCCATGCGATGGTGGGGGTATGCCTTTTATCACTTACTTCCCGCGTTGCCGGATAAAATGTATCAACAAGACTTGACGTTTGGTTGGCCAATCCACACAGGAAGTGAGGTGAGAACCTCATAAGGATGAGAAACACCATGTTTTTTTTTGTGCCATAAGGGGGCCTTTTCAAAGTTCCGCAACCGTGTAGGATCCCATCTCATCGAACTGGTTGGTTTCCTTTGGGTTCCCTAAAAACGATTCCTTCAAAGAGGCGTCAATCAAGACCCCAACTGAGTACTTTCAGGCAGCGGGTGTCTTAAAGTTACTGTGGGATGTCCTTGAACCTTGAACCGCGTTTTGGACTGGAGCCTCCAGTCCAGGGACATCCGTTTCAGCGGAAGCTTGGAATTTTTCTGAAAGAGGGCGATTTCCCAGACATCATTTTAGCCTGGTGGTTCCCAGCCATCGCCTTTGCTTTTTAGGGTTTTTAGGGTTCAGTGGGGATTTCCATTTAACCCACCCAAAGTTAAGCTTTTAGTAGGGGATCTGAGGACAGCCCGGCTAAGATGGCGGCCACGCACCCCAAACAACTACCAACCGAGAACAGTGCATCTACCCTTTATATGGTCGCTGTATACCCGCCTGACAGGTGGTCCCTTCAAGACGAATTTGATCTTCCAGCTGTATGGGCGGGCTGTCAATTCCCTAGCAATTCATCAACCCCTCTGGGGGTAGTGGATTGGGACTGGGTCGCTGGCAGCTTCCTAACATTTCCCTTGGGTGTACGTGGTGTGTGAAAGCTTTTCAGAGGGTTCCCTGTTATCACAGAAACCAGCCTTATACCCTCCCTGCCTTATTGCCACGGCACGTGACAGGGGCGCTCCCACATGTGCTATGGCCCTGGCTGGAATTGGAACCAATTTCCCGTGTTCAAAGGTGTCATTTGTAGGTCAGTTGGTTGAACATGGGTGGTGATACTGTGGATGGACAAAATCCTGCACCACCTAAGAAGCCCGGAATGATGATTCCCTTGTAAATACCAACAAACAATGGTTTCCCATGGTGTCAAAGTGGTGCAGGATTTCGTCCATCCACAGTAGTTTGGGCCTGGTCAGCGACCCGTGCCATCTATTTGTCCAAATGCACACTTGGTTCAAATTCCAAGGTATAATAACACAAGAGGCAAAGTAATTAGATACTAGTTTCCTCTATAAGCATGACTCTTTTTGGTTTAACCCCTTGCGGTTTTGATTCTTGAGGGTACCCGCCCAAATTGATGGTTTCCTGTTGGTTTCCCCTAAACATCTACAAGGGGTACCAACTCCAACAAGAGACATTCCCTTGGTGGCCCCCAGCCGTCCCCTTAGCTTTTTAGGCATTTAGGGTTGAGTGGTTTCCATTTAACCCACTAGTTGAACTAATCGCAGGGGATCTGAGGGCAGCCCAGCCTGAACAACATCCCGCCAGAGGAGACCTTCCTCTTGGAGCTGGGGGCCATTTGCGCCTTGGCGCGCCTGGAGCTGCGCCGCACCAGAGGCGCTGCGATTTTCTCCTATGACACCCTGGGATTACAACCCTTGTGAAAGGACCCAACCCAGAATGGTTCAAAATAACATGGTTGTATCCATAATTTGTGCCTAAACAGTGGGTGTATTCCGAGGGTGTCATACAAAAACCCTTAGAGCGCAACACCTGGGTCGAACACATGGGTTTGTCTTACTAAAAATGATCCCCCCAATCATGGTTGGCGATTCAATCTTCGATTGTTTGTTTCTTTTGATTTCCCTCCGAAACCGACCAAAAAGGGCGGCCAAAAAGACACCCAAATGGAACCAGTACGTCACAGATTTAAACCCAGGTTCTGCCTTTATATATGTGTGAAGCTCACCGAAGGGTTTATCACCAAACCCAGTCCTCTTAGACCTTATTTTTATGGCTATTTGGCAACGGATTGTTGGCTCTTTGGACTTTAACTTTATTGTTGAAACAGCACAGGCTCCCCAAAGGGGACCCATAACAAGTGAACAGCTTTCTTGCAGAGGGGGTCGTTACAGCCACCAAGCTATTTCTAGTGTTCTAGTGTGAGGATTGAAGACTTTGCAAAACAATCACCTTTTGGAGTAAATTTGAGTGTTTTTTCTTCAATTGGTTTGCAGCGCACCTGGACGGAAGCCTCTACACCAAAAGGATTGTCAACCCCCGGGGCTCCTGAGTTTGAGAAAGCCTCGCTAGACAGATCAAGCTACCGATGGCCTAGCACACGTAGAGGGTATACAGGGTATACCCAGACTTTTGCCCGGGGAACCTTTCTGAAGTCTCTGGGTTTCGACCTTGCCGTTTGGTTGGGGTTCCGAAAGCAATGTCATGGAACCGACCCCTGTTGAGGTGCCGAGTCTTTTTCTTCTGGACTTGGCCTATCAAGCCCCCGAAGTTGTGTCTTATCTGGAGTTGGTATCTCTTTCTCAAGACGTTTTGTGGGGTTTCCCACAATTTAAGGCAAACCCATGTGAGCATCTGACCAAAAGGTTACCGATCTATTGTTACACTTTGCGGAGGAGTGGGGCCCAGCCAAATATTTGGATATGCAACCAGGGGCCCACCCAAATTTCTCATGCCCTGTTCGGGAAACCTTTCTCATGTTGCGAGGTTCATAGCCTCGAGTGTTTGCTGAACACACATTCAAGTGGGGTACCCTAAAGGCACATGAAACGGGGCACCGGACTTCAATCCTGGTTCGTTTAGAGGAAAGTCAAGCATTGAAAAGAACACACACACACACACATAGGTGCTTTCCTCAGTTCCTGGACTGTCATACTTTTTGAGCAGACCGTTTTAGTACACAACAAGTGTAGCCTGTTGTTGGCCAAGCCACTCAGGAAGTAAAGGGGGGCATCTTGGGTGGTTCCAGCATGCCGCTATAGGTACCGCGTTCCTTAGCGTGCTTTTTGGCCATGGTTTCACCTGGCCATGGCTTATCGGGGTAACAGGCGAGACATGGCAGGGATCGGGACTTTGCCTTCCTTCGGTTTTGGCTGCCCAAAGCAACCGAAGAAGTCATTGCTTGCAGGTGCGATAGGGAAGGACCGAGTCCGGATTTCGGGAAGGAACCGGAAGGAGATTCCCGAATAAAGGAAACCAACTTGGAAATGTGACTTTTTTGTTGCAAAGGATCAAGCAAAACTTATGTGGAGCCCCTTGCATCATGATATGATGCCTCGGGAGGTTTGTTCCCGTGCTTCGCGTGGAAAATATCTCTAAAGAATCAAAGTCATTTGGGAAGGTCTCAGTGGTATCTGCTACCATCAATTTTATCCAGAGCAAACCGGTGGATGTAAAATTCCTGGTTTGTTCATGTCACGACCCAGACGTATGATATCAGGTTCACAGAGCCTGGGGGCCTAGACGGTGCCGTCGTGCAGGCAGCGATGTTGCGCTTCCTGAGACCTTTGCATCTTGACTGCGTCCAGTGAAATGTCAGCCTGGATAACATGATCCAAAACAGGGGTGCCAAGAAAAATGCCTCCAAAGTTTGCCTGAATGCCCTCCACACTTTGACCTTGATTGAATTGTGGAGTTTTGTAGTACTTGACGCGATTCTGTTTGACGAGCTGGGGTCCAGGAAATCTGGCAATACTTTACTTGTTTGAGTTGTACTACGCTCAGGTTCCAACCAGTCCGGCAGTACTGCATTTGAATTGCTTAGGATCTATGTTCAGGACGTGACCCATATGTTTTGATAGTACTACTTCACAGACGGGGGAATACATTTAGTGAATTGCTTATGTAGTTGGATCCACCTTCACAAAGTGGTCAGTATCATTCGCTTTATCCAATTTCTTCAGTTGCTTTTGTATGAGTGTTTTTAGTGCTGGGTGCCAAGCCTTTGAGGGGACGACATGTTTGTTCATTTTTTCCAGACCCCCGATCCAGCATAGCAGTTTTGGCCTCGTGTGACTGACACTTGAGATGCAACATGTGACGCTACATCAAAAGACCCTGCTACTTGGGGGTGGTAGGGTATGTCTGTTGAGAGGGAAGTTAGAAGGCTATTGTAAGGCTAAGGAACCAACATGATGCAAAAAAAGTTTTTGGCCGCACATATCATGCTCAGCTTGCTTACCTCAGACGGCATGCGTTGCTGAATATTCAAGCCAACTGGCTATGATTTCAATAGGGGACAACCTCAGAAGTGATTGGTGGACATGAATCCCCACTCAAACGATTTCCACAAAAGTTCCCCTATTAAGATTCACACTCACCGCACACGCAGCATACCAGGGGTAGTTTCAGTCCATTTGATTGATCAAAGCGTTTTCACCGTTTGGGTGGTCCAAGCGCACTGGCCGCACAGTTGACGTGCCAAGTTTTCCCTTGGATTTCCCGCAGGTTTCACTTTAAGGCACATTTTCAGGGCAACCTTGAAGCACGTCAACTTACTCAAGGCTGCCACTTCCCAATTTGGGCTTCCCTATGGGTTTTATCCCTAGGGGAGACTTTGACAATGGTAACATGTTGGCTTCACTCTTTTGGGCGTGCTTTTTGTTTGGTTAGTTGTCCTCGGTTGTCTTCATGTTTCAGTCTGTCTGTTTTTGGATGGCACCCATTTTCATGGTGTGGTTTAAAAGTGAAACCGACAGGAAACAATGCCACACAGGGTCCGATTCCTACCGCAGGTTCCCCTTAGTTGGTTTGGATTGGTTTGGGGATGAACCCCCAAAGGGTGTTTTGGGGTTAACCACCCAAGCTCCACACCTCCAAACCTCCAAAAAACAAGCCTTCCCCCAACCACCACAGTAGATGAGGTTACCCACCCAAGCTCCACCCCAATCCCAAGCCAAACGAGGGGCCCCAAGCTCCAGCCCAAACCAAGCCAAGCAGCCCCCCAGCACCAAGGGATGCCAAGAGCTCTACGTCGCCACGTCGCCACGTCGCCACGTCGCCACGTCGCCACGTCGCCACGTCGCCACGTGAACGAAGCGCTGAGGCGGACTTTGCGGCGCTGGTGGCGCAGGAGGCCCCGGCGGCCAAGCGATGCGCCGCCAAGGCGGCGGCGGCGCTGCTGCCGGAGGGCTCGGCGGGGGGGGGGGCGGCGGGGGAGTTGCTGGGAGCAAGGGGGGGGAGGCTGGGGGGTGGGCTTTTTGGAGGTGTTAAATTTTGGTTTCTGGGGTGTTGGTCCGAGTTTTCAGGTTTGTTTGAAAGGGAAGCCGAAGAATACACTCAAGTGGTTTTGTTGTGGATGAAACCACATGTTTGACGGTAGTTTTGAGGGTAGGTTGGAGTGACGACCACGGGTGGAGGGATGGCTCCATTGAGTCAGAGCATGGCTGAGTCATGAAGACATGGATGTATGGAGAAACGCAAGCCATGTACTCTCTCAGGCAATCCAACGCCGTCGCTTCGTCGCAGACAAAATCAAGTGCGGATCAGTCCTGAGCCTGCCATTTCAGCAAGATCGTCATGTTCCACGAGCTGCAATGGTGGATCCATGTTCCACACATTGCCTTCCAGTCCGTCCAACAAGCCATCCTGCATTCGAACAGGTGATCGGCGAATCTGGCTTGATCAGCGGGGCTTCGAGCCATGCAAAGACTGTGTACTAACTCAACAAAAGAGCCCAGGGAAGCGAGGTTCACAGTATCGCAACCCACTACGTCCACAAACCGAGCATTCAGCTGCCAAATCGCTCGATGAACTCGCTTCCTCAATGGCGCAATCCCCCTTTGGTTCGGCAATTTGCTGCCTTAGGGCGTCAACCTCGGAACCACGGGCTTTGATTTTCTCAGCGGTCGTTGGTGGTTCCCCAAATCTCACTCCCCGAAGTCTAGTTCGAAGACCATCTTATTGTCAGGCAAGAGTTTGCCAAGCAAAGGGTGCTGAATAGCCTATGGCAATGTTTTCTCCTCGAAAGGACGCCAAAGGGGAACAAATGAATTGTTGAGTTTTCCAGACCCCCTGTTTTGCACCCACTGGGCATGGGAAATTTGAGCTCGCCCTTGAATCAGAAACGCTCCTGGCTTGTGAACGGCCGTCTGCCAATGCCTTCTCAGCTTGGATCCTGGGCTTGCCGTTGAAAAGCGGGCTGAGAAATAAAGGGACCCGTTGAAAGTGCAGTTGTACATCCTCTTGGAGGGGTCTGTTCATTTCTTCAAAAGGGGTCAACAAGCATATCATGGATGGAGCCTAGTGGCAAATGTTCACGCGCCCGTAGGCGCGGGGAAACTTGTGTTTTGGCAATTGCAGAGGCGTCGCGTGGCCTGCAAGCATGACGCTCCATCAGCTTGCCTCTTTTGGATTGGTGCTTTGGAAATTAGGTGGGGGTTCCCCTTTACTACAAGAAGGGGTTCAACTCCCCAAACAAACTAATTGTTGGGTAACCTGGCTGCACTTCAAAATCAGCTCCCAGCATCAACAAACAGTTTGCCATGGTTCTGGCATTGCATTTGTTGGGATCCTCGGTTGCCTGTTGAAAACAATCTCAATATGCTATCCTCCAGGCTAACATGGAAGCTTCCAGCACCGCTTGAAACATAATTTGACTTTCCGCTTTGCGACGGCTACCTTGCAATCCTGTTAGCCTATTCCGAGCCATGACACCCGGCCCCCGGGCAGGTTCGATCCGAACCCTTCGAGCACCCTACGCTTCCGAGGGTTTCTCGCTCCAAAAGGCAAGCGACACACACGCACGCATCCCGCAGCCCGTGCCCTCAGATTTCGGCGACCAAAGACGTGTGTCTTCCCCCGTCTCTGAATCCGGGGTTTAAGAAGAGCATCTGCATCGAGTCGAAAGTGACTCCGAGGAACTCGGAGGAGGCCGGGGGAGATGTCAGGCCGCGCTTGGAGAACCATTGAATATCTTTCAAGGGGTCTATGTGTTGTTTTCAGGGTAGCCAAAGGGACAACCAGAATTTGTGGGTCCCTAGAAAAGGACAACCCCATACAGATGGCCCATTCTGGTTGAACATGCCTCATCTCTTTCTCATGGGAAAGTGGAAACGTTCCGCCGAAACCTTCGTTTTACAAGAAAACCAAAAGGAAACCCACCAATTGGGGGGGGGGGAGGTCCCCTAACCCTCAAAAGACGCGCCCATATTATCGGCAGATTTCCCTTTCTGCGATTAAGGCAGCTGGCTTTCAAGATTGAATCTATCCATTTGATTTGCGATTTATTGGCGATACCGGGCCATCCCAATCGCTTCAACACAAATTGCTACATCCCCGGAAGCAAAAGCAAACCACCCCAGACAGGTCAAGGCCCCTTTTCACAATTTGCAGCATGCGCAAACCCAGGGATGCAAGCAGCGAATTTATTTGATGACATGTTGTAGTGGTGTCCAACTAGAGGTTAGGATTCAGGATCCCCCAAGTTTGACCAACCCACTTTGCTCGCCACATGTGCTTGCTTCGGACATTTCTGGTGGCAGAGTTCAGCCATGCGTGTCCGATGCAGACGTGGTCCGGGGATTGTCTTGAACTCGGCTTCTAATCTGCAACGCTAATTGGGCGTGTCAGTTTTAGGGGACCCCCAAAATGGTGGTGTATCTCTTGTGGTTTTCCTTTTCGCAAGAATAGGGGTACCCTGAAAAAAGACACACCCAATTCATTGTTGGCGGGAATGTGTGAGCCAGATCAGAGTTTCTGTCTTTGACTAGAATCTGACTGGTGCAAGTCGCACCTATTCATCATCAGTCCGTCAGCATTAGACCCAGGTGTTGCACCAAGTGTTAGACTTTTTTCACCAGGGTGCCGGATGTCAAATCTGAGTGCAGGTCAGGGTTTTGGGCGGCCCGTTTGTTGTTGATGGGTTTCAACCCCAACAAGGGCAATATAAGGGGCAAACTAAATACACATAGTTACCCCCATCACGACTCAATCATGCCTACGGTTTCCAAGAACCCCACGACCCCCTTCCAATTTAGGCGCTGGTACCCTCCAAAGCCCACGTCCCCATTTGGTTTCCATTCGTCGCGGCCCTAACTTGAGAGGCGCTGGAAGAGTTGGCGCAGATGTTGCGGGGCACTGACCTTGCAGTCGGGAAGCCCAACCGGGGGAGGAACCGCTTCCGCGCCGCTTGGAGCTGTGGTTCCTTTTTTGGAGCCTCAAAGAAAAGTGGTCCTTTTGGTTTTCCCTTTAACACAGATCAACAATGGAGTACCCTCCAAAGAAAAGACAGAACCATTTGCAGTTGTATTTGGGTTTAACTTTTTGGAGGTACCCTTTTCAGGTTGTGAAATGGACACTCACGTGCCTTTTTCTAGGACACTCAGTATGAAAGGAAACACTAGAAACAGGGATAATCCTAGGGCATTGGGTTCTTGGATTAATGGCTTTGCTAGTCAAACTCTGATGGTGCACGTGGGGTTTTGGTCTCTTATGGTCGTGACTTAATTTGGTTCAAAGTCTTGTGAGTTCCTTGCACTCTTGGAACAATCAGGATGGTTGGAAGGGGTCATACCGTTCTCTCTGCCAAGAACACGTCTTGCTTGTAAATAAAACTGACTTATCCGACCAATGAAAGCGGAACGACCTCTTTTGCCACATGTTTTTCATTTTGGAAACGGCAGCCTGTGCAGTTCCATGTTGGCTCTGTTTTAACTGGTGTTACTTTGGTTCTAGACATGTACCAGTGCCATCTAGTTTGTGACGGGCACCTTTGGCAAGTACCCAACTTGGCATACAGAGTTTCCCGATTTACTTGCCTCATATTGAGCGAGGGAAAAACATATTCATTGGTAGCGTACTGTTGGTTTAGCGAGGGCATAAAGAGACAACCCCCCCCCCCAAGAAAGCAAACACAAGAACCACACGGGAACAACTACAAGCTAATTTACCCATGTCCCCTACACAAGTTTACCCATGTCCCTTGGGGAATGAGTCAACTGTACCCTTGAAAGAGCCTGCCTTGCAACATGTTGGGCTTCCGTGAAAAGTTTGCATGAGGGTTGAGCATTCTGCTGCCTGAGGTCGGGACCCTGCCAATCAAAAGCAACACTCCCAGGCTGTGAAAACCTGTGCTTCAGCTCCGACTAAGCTTGGGCCTAGGATCAAACATGGCTTCCGTTTCATGTTGCCATGAGCGAGCTGAATCTAGTTGCTTGGTGATGTGGAAATGTAGTGCTCAGAGGCCAGCGGATTGGGCGTGGATCTTCGTGTTCCGACCCCTATGAAAAGCTTTCCAAGGCATGGGGAAACCCCAGCAAAGCCGCCAGGAGCTTGGTTCCTTTCAGTTTCCTTCTGGGTTTCCTTTTGCTTTCCTTCCCTGAGAACTTGTGTGTGTGTGTCTGTGTGCGTGTGGGTTTTTCTTGGAGGGTACCTTGCTTTTGTGATTTTCAATGGGAGCGATGAGGACAACAACATTGGACATGTATTTGGGGGTTCCTAAACAAGACACACCCCATTGTCCTGTTGGTGTTTTTGGGGGGGGTTCTCAAATTCTTTGGGTTCGAAGGCCCCCTCAGTCGGGTTCCTCAGGCGGCGCTGCGCGCTTTGGACCACCTTGAGCGCTTTGCCGCTGTGCGTGGCCTGGAGACGGCGGCCAAGGCCGAGAAGGGCCCGAAGTAAGGCACAGAGACACACAGACACGCCAACGCACGGACACCGACTCCGACGCGGAGAAGGACACCACAGACACAGACGGAGAGACAGAAATAGAGAGACACAGACACAGGCACACACACAGACACACTTTGCGGCGGCTCGGAAAAGTCATGTCCAGCTGGTTCTTTTACATCCCAAGTGTACTGATAGCAAGACCCCAGGACATGGCTTGCCATCGCTCCTCGTACCGTACCGGTTATGCGACGGCGCTGTAAAGACATCCCAACTGCAGGAGCTCACGCACACAGACAGACACAAACACACAGACACGCAGACACACCCACAGAGGAACCGGTGTTTTTTCGTTGAATTTACACCAGCCGTGTTTATTTTGAAATTCCTCATTTGGGATTCTCATTTTTGTGTTTTTCCTCACAGACGAAGCGAGCAAGTAAGTGAGTGAGCGACTGGTGGTTGCAAAGGAAAAAAAACACCTCTGTCCCATTGTTTGGTGATGTTTGTTTTGAATTCATGCCTGGAGGGTCCAGGTGTCTGCGTCCGTCATCTCACCTGATTTCTGCAAATGTTCACTGCTTACAGACTCGCGGTAGCATGCTGTCAGTGCTTTTGTTGCGTTTGACGCGTCCTAGGCATCCTTGGGGTACTTCGGCTTGCTTGGGACCGTGTTTGTTGTATCGGCTGAGTTTGGTTTGACTTCGGCGACGAATGATGCGGCCACAAAGGCAGTTCTTTGCAGTGCGAGCATTCTTACACCTCTGGGAAGAGATCCGGGTTTTCCGCTCGCAAGGTTTGCTCCGAGCCTCAGACGAACCAAGCCACTGGCAGGGCAGAAACTTATTGGAACATTCAGAGCGCCCAACAATGTGCTCTTGGTAAATTTGGGGTCACAAACCTATCAGAGGTGCGCTTTGCTTGACTTGCTGACTTTCTTGCGTCAAGGGCCTTCGAACCAACTCTGAAGGACCTTGTGGACAGGGTCCCTATTTTCCCTGTTTAAGCGTTGGGTGTTAATAGCATCACCTCTTTGGCCAATGTATGGTGCGTTTCCCGTCGGAGTGATGGATTCAGGGGAATATGCTTATGATGTTTAATAGAGAGCCACCGACTGCAAGTGGTTGGTGGATCTTTTCATCCCCAAATTCTGGCGTCCACCAAATCGGGTTCCAGGATCAAAATCATACCCATAATATATGGTCTATAATGGTCCACAGTGGGAACAAAAAACGATACCTCCGTTGGAGTGCCTTTTCCAGGATAAACGAGGTTGTTGGTCGGCCGCTCATACACGAAGCGCCCCTCGCTTTTCAGGTGCGGCCAAGCACCTGCGTCATGGCCCGGCAGTGCCTCGCCGCCCTGGCAAGGGATGTTGGGTGCCCCAGATTTGAATCGATTGGCGAGTTGTGAAGACACTCCCTGGAAGATGGTTGGGGCTTGTGTGTTTGTTTGAGGCTAACCCCCAGCAAATGTCCTTTTGTCGCCCTGCATAGACTACTGGGTGCCAGCTTTTGAGGGTGCCCCTTTTGTGATGGTTTTAAAGGAGAACCGAAACCATTTTGGGGGGGTTGGACAAAGGCGTGTCAGCTCATGAAACAACACACCTGTTGCGGGCTTGGTCCAGACGCATCCTTTCCCCTGTAATTTTAAATGTCATTATTGCGACCAATTTGAAGCGCTGTTCCCTCGATCGGGGCAACGGTTGGACAAAGACAACTTTGGCCCTTTTCAAGGGAACCCAACAGCGGGGTGTTTTCAGCAACGGTTAAACGCATTTTCATGAGGGGTTGACCCAAGCTAAGAACCCTCTGAGCTCAACTGACGCCTGGAATTCTTCCTCGCCATCCCAGGAAAATAGAGTCAAGAGCAAGTTTCTTGCATCCAAGAAGTCTCCAACATAGCCTTTGAGCATACCCCAGCACTCTATGAAAGGAATCCTCATCATGGGGGGATTGGAAAGCTCAAAAGGTTTGTTAGAGGGTTCTTGAGTTGGTCAATGGTAGACCTCCATGTGAAGGATAACCACCCATGGGTGAATTCGGATTCCTGCCCAGCTCTTTTGCTTCTATTGCTGTTGAATGCTCCCGAGGTCTTTTCGGAAGGGCATGAGACGGCGAATGGCGAGTGTGGCGTTTTTCGGGGCCAAGGACGATGAAGCGCAATGACGTTCCTAAAGGCATCTCTTCATCGAGAGTTCGGCTTCTCCGCGAAAGCAACTCTGAAATCACGCACGAATTCACGAAAGCTTACACAGGCACACCAACACACAGACGGGGGAACACCTGCCCTAAAATCCACGGAAAATGGTTGAAGCGATTACTTCTTTTTTTGGTGAATATAGGGCTGCTCCGAGCTTCTTGGCAGAACCACGGGTCGAACATCCGATTCGGTTTTTTTCGGTTTCCCTCGGCCAAATTTCTGCTGTGGCATCTGTGGAGCACTTCTGGGATACCCCCCTGCAACACTGAATTTGGTTGAAGACCTGCAGGTGGAGGCTGACATCAGCCGACCTGCGCTGTGCGTCATCGTCGCTTGGACCAAAGTCAGAGTTGGATGCTGATTGGTTGAAACAGGCTTGCACAATTTTTGTTAGATCAACCCTTCGTCCCTGCAAAAGGGCAATCAAAAGGAGGTTGCTTAACATGCTGGAGGTTTCAACATGTTCGAACAGGTGGGCAAACCACAAAGCCTGTTGAAACGTCCATTTGAGAAATGCCCATGTCTTTGGCAGCGGCCCAAACAAATTGGCCCACAAGTTGCCGGGTGCGTTTTTTCCCAAAACCACCCGGCGCCGACAAAACAAGAGGCAATTTGTTTGAGCCAACTAAATCGTGTTGCTTCTTCGTTTTGTTTGCCGCCTGCGAAGCTTGCAAGTGAGTCAGGCCAGCCAATTTCCACTTACAAGTTTCGAGCCTCGAAAGGCGCTTCAGTGTCGCCTCCCAAAATCAGCGCCCACTGGGCAAAAAGCCCAAGGCTCCCTGCCAAGGTTGCTTGTTTATGCCTAAGGCTTGGGGCCTACATAAACCGGGCCTTGCAAGTTCCGGGGACTCGTTTAAATGTTTTGATGTCAAAGCAGGGAGGTTCCGACATCCCCATGGTTCCATTCCGCCAGAATAGAACAATGCCTAGGAATAGAGCCATTCCTAGTAGAAGAAACGGACCGACCTGAAGGTGGGTTTACCTCAAAGCGACCCACCGAACATGTGTATTGGGTTCAGCACCCTGCGCAGGCCTGCGCTGTGCATGACGACAACGAAGAGGCGGGGGCACAGCGCGGCTCGTCTTCGGAGTTACCCTTTTCACCCTTTTAAAGAGAAGCCGAAAGCAAAAAAAACATTTTCGGGGTATCTACATTTTGAGACATACCTGCATACCAATCCAAATCCTATCGCAAGAGGTTCACTATTTTGAGACAGACGCAAAATGCAGCTGGAATCTACCGGCCGGCTGAATGGCGATTTTACCAAGAGGATTTACGACAACATCATCCATGATGAAGGTTTCTTTCGTGTGCATGCCGCACTCAGGCTGCTGAGTTTCCACATACTCAAATGGAAGATGGAAATCATATTGTTTTGCCATAGAACCTTGGGGAATCCCTCCACTCACCCAGATACGGCGCCTCAACAGCCTGACTTTCTTTCGATTGTCGTGAGAAGGGGGCCCGAGCCGAAACATGCAATGTGGTTACGTGGCTTTTAGGGGACCTCAAAAATGTGGTTGTCCTTTTGGCTTCTGAGAGCAACCACAACAAGGGTTCCCTCAAAAGACGCCCCCACACACACACACAAACACACACACAAACACACACACACACACAACACAAAACACACACACACACCAACACACACACACACAAACACACACACACAAAACAAAAAACACACACACCAACACACACACAAACACACACACACACACAGACACACAGACACACAGACACACAGACACACAGACACACAGACACACAGACACACAGACACACAGACACACAGACACACAGACACACAGACACACAGACACACAGACACACAGACACACACACACACACAGAGACACAGACACACAGACACACAGACACACAGACACACAGACACACAGACACACAGACACACAGACACACAGACACAGAGACACACAGAGACACACAGAGACACACAGAGACACACAGAGACACACAGAGACACACAGAGACACACAGAGACACACAGAGACACACAGAGACACACAGAGACACACAGAGACACACAGAGACACACAGAGACACACAGAGACACACAGAGACACACAGAGACACACAGAGACACACAGAGACACACAGAGACACACAGAGACACACAGAGACACACAGAGACACACAGAGACACACAGAGACACACAGAGACACACAGAGACACACAGAGACACACAGAGACACACAGAGACACACAGAGACACACAGAGACACACAGAGACACACAGAGACACACAGAGACACACAGAGACACACAGAGACACACAGAGAGACACAGAGAGACACAGAGAGACACAGAGAGACACAGAGAGACACAGAAACACGCAAACACGCAAACACGCAAACACGCAAACACGCAAACACGCAAACACACAAACACACAAACACACAAACACACAAAACACACACACAACATGCACACACACACACAACACACACAGCACACACACACACAACACACAACACACAACACACACACAGACAGACAGACAACACACACACAAGCGCACCCTTCTGCGCACATGTCCAAGTTCTCGCTCGTTTCACCCACTCCGATCGCCTCTGTCGCGCCAGGTCCGGCAGTGGGCGAGGCTGGGCTTTGCACCAAGAGTTGCAGGTACATTCCATGAAGGCTGCTGCAAGGTAGCATGGAACGAGCAACGGATCCCAAAACAAACATATTTCTCTGATAGATAATCGTGTGTTTTGGGTTCCACGATAATCTGGGGAGGAAAGATGACGTTGAAGCACGATGCCTACTGCAAGTGCAATGTTATTCAGGTCCCACTGTGCGCGTTCGTGCGTGTGCGTGTGCGGTGTGCTTGCGCGTGTGTGTGTGTGTGTGTGTGTGTGTGTGTGCGCGTGCGCACGGTGTGCGTTCCTGGTGTGCTTGCATGTGTTTCCCTGCCGACGGGTACCCCAACAGGACTTCATGTGCTAAAGGCTTCTCATAGCATCCGGAAGGAAGTTCCTCACGGACGCCTCCTGGACACCTCCCTCAAGCCCGAGCCACAGACATCCGACCGGGCATGCATGTGTGTCGGCGGGTATTATTTTTTGTTGCGTTTGTTTGCATGGGTGCTTGCGTGTGTTCTTGGGTGCGTTTATGGGGGGTGCAAGTACATGGGCATAAACCCGACCAACATGGCATTTGGCAGAAGGCCTTTTTGGAGGAATATTATCTCCCAGGGATCCAGTCAGGTTCCATGGTCGTGGGAGGGGTGGTATGTCTTTGTGAGTGTGCCCTTTTGCGGTGAAACGAAAGCTCATGTGCTTTTTTTTGGGGGGGGTTCTTCGATTTTGGAACGAGTTCATACATTTTGTATATGCTACACTGCCAAAGCCCGCTGTTAATTCAAATTGCTGGTATTTGCAGCCTTCAGCCTTGTGGCAGAACCGGTCATGCGCGTTGTTCAATCCCCGAGCTGCAGCACGATCCAGAACAAAATAGAACAAATGTGCGGTAGTTCTATTTTTTCCGGAACGAGTCGTCCTTCAGTTTGTCACTCCAAGTTTAGGCCAAAATGCTTCTCTAGGCATAAGGTTACATATCCGAATGACGCTTTGGCGCATCTTCTAGTGTCAGCCAGCGTCTGGCAAGAACCTGCGAAAATGGGGGCCTTCCAATTGCCTAAAGGGTAGGCAAGGCTTCACGTCCCACGAGTGCCCGTTATCTGACGCCACCCCTTTTAACCATCTAGCAGTGACCATGTGACCTGTGACCACGGGAAAAGAGCACCCCTTGGCTCATGGCATCGTCATTACTCGATCAATCGATTATTTTGGGAAGCACGCAAACACACAAGGAGCTATACACCTTGATTAAAAATAATGCACACCTTCAGTAGGCCTTAGCTTTGCTCGCGCATGTGACTAGTGACTAGCACGGTTCTTGCGATTATCCAGCATGTTTCGAACGCGGGTCTAGTGTGTGCCTACATCAGGCCAGCCCTTTTGCTGCGCATGTTGTACCTATAATTTATGTGGCATTTACACATTATGCTGAGGCTTCGCTAGAATGTGTTTGTGTGTGTGTGTTTGTTTGTTTGTTGGTTTGTTTTTTTGTTTGTTTGTGTTTGTGTGTGTGTGTGTGTGTTTGTTTGTTTGTGTTTGTGTGTGTGTGTGCGTTTTTTTTTTTTTGTGTGTGTGTGTGTTTGTGTTTGCGAGAAGCCTAAACAGAGAGCCCTGCTGTTTTGTTTGTTTTCAGCTATGCATGTTCCATCCTTGCTTGATATGCTGATGGCGTGACTATTGGGGTAGGTTGGCTCAGGGAAAGCTGGGACATGAGCGTTGCATTCCCGGTCTTTTAGATCAACTCCATGGCGCTCAGGCCCCTGTTTCTCGTCGGGAACTGCAAACTTCGGGCGTATCATGGGGCCATGGACTTTCACGGTTGGTTAGCGGGCTATGTGTTGCCATCAGTCGCAACCTTGTCTTGCACTCCTGAGTTGAGTTGTGTAGGCTTCATCCGGCTTGTTGCAACCTGTTGTGAAATAATGTTGCTTCTTTATGAACATGTTATACCACTGACTAATTGCCACATGGTCTCCATCTCAAAATTGGTCGGACAGGCAACAAGTTGAACTCAATGACCCAGCCGCCAGCCGACAACTCCTTCGCTCGAACAACCAATTCTCGAGGCGAAGGCAGTTCGATGTGTTTCTTCGTGGGCATGGTGCGGAACATGGCCCGGGGCCCCCAAAGGAGTCGTGAGGGCGTCCAGAGAGACCCCCCCCCTGAGGGTATGCGTCCAGAAAGAGATTGGGACACCTAAATATGGATTTTTCAGTACTCCTTTGATGTCCCTTTAAACAGACCGATTTAAACATGTACCCTCCCATAGCCACACAACACACGCACACTCCAATCATGGATTTCTGTCAAACTTTGACTCCAATCATGGATTTCTGTCAAATGGCCCCTGGCACATAGCCCAACAAAGGTCAGTTAATGAAGCACTTGATAGCCGTTGGGCGATTCCGATCGAGGTGAGCGTTGACGAGTCGCAACAACTGGGGCTTCAGTATTTGGGTGTTTGGTTCTGGCGCACACGAACACAGGGTTTTGGTGACGTAGGGGTCGAGAGTGCAGCGGAAGCTGGCAGGATGCAGATGGATTGCCCCTTGTCCAGTCTTGTGGGCATTGGGGGAGGTTTTCCAACCCTTCAGGGAAAGAATGAGTTGTTAGAAAGACAATCAGTTGAGTTGAAATTCCCACATTCCTGCCCCCTATCCCTTCCTGACACGGTTTGTTGGATCTGTGAGTCCATTAAGGAGTAGTGTCATTTCTTTGCTTGTTTCTGTTCGGCACCAATCAGCAATCGGCACACTGGATTGGTTGTGCTTGAATCTGATCATCATGCCTAGGCACCCAATGGCATTCGGTGCCATTGGGAAAGGTGCTGCAAATAATTGGCACGGCTTTCAAGCGATTGCATCGGCCGCAACATACGGTACAAGTAGATTGTTCAACTGTTATGACACGGATTAGGCGTTTTTTTTCCTTTTGTTTTACCATTATACCAACCCGAAAGGGTACCCTCGACGAAAGAGAGAAAACCGTTCATCAACCTCGTTTTTGTGCCAGCCGCATTCTTTCGGTTCGCTCTGACATTCGACCAAACTTGAGATGTTGTGCTTTGCAACATGGGGAAATGGAACCCTCCCCGCTCGCCACTTAAGCCCTTTTTTTCGACAGGGGTGGAGGGGTGGCTCCCTGCTTGACCATGGTGGCCTTGCTCCCCTCGGTGAACTAGTACGGGTATGATGTTTATTTGGGAGCTTTTCTAAGTGGGATCTAGATCAACCAACCACTCCTGAATGGGTTCCCTATTAGTTTGAAGTTATCCCTACAATTTGATTGCCACCCCCGGTTTCAAATGTTCTTCGGTGGTCTCTGAAAGGAATCTCACCAAGCTGACCAGCTGATTTGTAACCGGGGTGATTATGGTGATGATATGTATTTTGTTTACGGAGGCTACGTTTCACATTCTGTCCTGGAGGATAACCTGCGTTGAGAGTTATTAGAAAGACATGAATCCCCAGCAGAAAGCGGATCTCCCGATTCACAACTGGGGAGGTGCTGAATGATCCACTCTGTGGCAACGACACAGTCAACTAACCACGCCCTGGGCATGCTGTGCAGACATCCTCACCATGGACGGTTTCTGGGAACCCGTAGCCTGGCAGCGGTTTCGGGAAACCTTTATGCAAGCCGCTTGGATGGTTTAACCTTGGGGTCATTCCCTCCGAATTGCGGAGAGCAGTTTGTTTCGTGTGGTACAAGTTAATTCAACAAGCAAATCCTCTCCAAAGAAAGGCACCACTTAAATGAACCGGGTACTTGGCAGTGGTTAGTAAGCCGGGTCATAACCCACTTACCATGGTTGTAAGTCTCCTAAGTGGGTTACAACCAGGCTTAGGAGCCACTTACTAAGTACCCTGCCCCTTTGCACTGGGCGGGAAATCCAAACGGGGATGGTCCCAACTCCGGAAGTCTGCCACTTTGGGAGACTTCTCCGGCCAAGTTGCTGAGGTTGGCTCGGAGAACGTGCTCTGATCGCCGAAATAGGGACCCTACGCGCAAGTTTGGTCTCACTGGGCTTTGATCACAGCCAATCAGTTCTAGAAACTTCCATTTGATTGAGAGTATGTTTCATGTTCGATTGGTGGTTTTAAAGAGAATCTATCACTACTGGAGATACGTTTCTTTTTCTAGGGGCTTAAGCAACTTAAGAAAATGTTATCATTCCAACCACTACCACCACCACCACCACCACTACTGCTGCTGCTGCTGCTGCTGCTGCTGCTACTTCTACTACTATTACTATGACTATTACTTTACTATTACAAGTATTGTTACTATTACTACTACTATTACTTTTATTAATCACTGTAGCACTCTTACTGTTACTGCTACCGATACCATTATGGTTACTGTTACTATTATTACCATCCCCATTACTATTACTATTGCCAATACTATCTACTATTACTTATTGATATTACTATTGCTATCAGCCGTACTATTACTACTCCTTTTATACTAATTTATACTATTACTATCTCTATGACTATTGCTAGTTACTATTTCTATTGTGACTTATACTCTGCCCATTGCTATTGCTAGTGCTACCACTACCACTACTAACCACTACTACCCACTACTAACCACCACTAATGCTACTGCTACTGCTACAGCTGCTGCTGCTGCTGCTGCTGCTGCTGCTACTGCTACTGCTATTGCTACTGCTATCTGAATTGATAAGGCTTGTGAACGCCTAACCCTTGCGGTCGGAGTCGGGTCCCTTTGTACATAGATCGCCGCCAGCCATCGGGTGAAAGCCGGCTGAAAAAGTCACATCCTGGAGAAATTGAGCTCTAGACTTTCAGTGGCGCCTTGTTCGCCACTTTATTGGCGGGGTGTCCCTTGAAAACTGCCCCCAGGGGTCTGGAATACAGAACTCACCTGGGAAAAACGAGCTCACCCATGATTCATCTCCTTGTTTTCATTGCTTGAAGGGGATATCCTTTAAAACCAGTCAAAAAGCAGAGTGATGTCTTTTTCTCAGCCACAAAAGGTCTGGAATACAGAACTCACCGGAAACGAGCTCACCCATGATTCGTTCTTTCGACTTTCCGGATTGTAGATTGTAGTCATTTTCAGGAAGATGTATGCTACAAGACAGCGAGCGTAACTCAACTCGCATCAAACATCCCCGTGAGTTTGCGTGCGAACACATTCGCCGTAAGCCAAGCAGAGTACAAGGAAGGTCCCGTTCTAGTAGTAGAACAACGCTCAGACTTTCCTGCCACTCAGGAAGTGAGATGGCACAACATGGCTGGTGGATTTACAAATCTGGGCATGAGCATTGTGGATTGCAAAGCAAAACACCAAATAGGACGTCCCAGCTCTTTCTTTTACACATGTGTGCTCCAAGAGATTCACGGTCGCACCACAGCATTTGTTGTGGGACACGAATTCACGTTTCGCAACGGGACTGCAGGACTTTGAGCAAGATCGTACTGACTAGGCAGGGAATAAAGATCGACGGAGCTGGGATTGTAAGGTGATACGACAATTGCTTTGGAACTAGCTTTGAGCGACTGCGTAGCGGATAGCAATATGCATAGTACCATGTGTTTGTTCGTGTATTGCATATACATATAGATACGTACGTATAACTTGCATCTATATACATACTCACTTCAATTGTAAACCATGTACACATGCACAGACACACATTTCCTTCCCTATGGCTCCGTAGGGCATTCCATCCCATGGTTGTTGATTGACTGCGGAGTCTCAGCGGTTATGCAGAACCCTCCCAGTCAAACGTCAAGAGTCCTCGTCAAAAGACAGCTGCCATCGCTGTAAATACCTCTTATGATGGATGGTTGGATATGAGCAGGACATCCGTTTGTTCAGCAGCACCCTTTGTCCCTGTTTCTGGTGGTGTTCGACTGAAGACGCACGCAACACATTGCCACCGACGGACGGCAACACAAAACCAAACATGGCCACAAAACGACAACGCGACAAAGCCAACCAAACCAAACCAAACCAAACCAAACCAAAGCCACCGAACCAAGCCAAACCAAGCAAACAAACAAGCAAACAAACAAGCAAGCAAGCTAGCCAGCAACTCCCACACACATTGGAACTGGTTGCTTTCTGTTCTTCGGAGGCTCTCCTGGCTGCTGGCTTGGAGGGCCCTGACGTCCTACAGGCACGATCCAGGTGAGAGGCTGAGGTTGAGGGGAACGAGGGAATGAACCCAGGGGTGCCATTACTGTAAAGGAAGCCATAAGGGATGGTTTAAAAGTTATTTCCTCGTTCCCTGCCTATGGCACCAACAAGTTGAGGTAGTTTGGAGAGGTTGAGGTCGTAGACCCTCCGCGACCAACAGAAAGGGCCTGGTGTTGTTTCGGCCATGGCCACTTGAGGCGCCGGTTCGACCTCCCCTCAAAAATTCGGGGCAATCGTCCCAAGTCGAACTGGGGCAGGCGATTCAGCCATCTGCCATCCTCTGTGTTTCAGGGTATATTGGCAAGGTGTTCGATGAATTTATCTTTATTTTCCGGGCATTTTCTGAGTATGTTCGTTGGCTTGATTGAACATCACCGCCGGTGTTTGGCGTCACCTGTTCCACCATGAAGATGTTAGTGGCTTTGATTTGGTATCTTCCAGGGGTGTTTTGTGTTTACACAACTTATGTGGCCACGACTTTTGATGGTTGGACCTTGGGCATGGCTTGTGTACATTTGTTTGCCGCCAATAGAATCTACAGAAGTTCGTATCCAGGTGGTGGTGCACCTCGAGTGGTATTCCTCAACGAGCGGCAAAGTCCCGGTGAGTGGGGGTACCTGGTGTGCTTTCCAAGAGAGGCCATCTAGACGCTAACAATGCAGCCCACCAACAAGCTACCATGGATGTTTAGAGTAGTGTCTCAATGGGGATTATAGCAAGGTCAATGTAAGCATGTATTAGAATGTGTGTGAAATCAAGAGTCAAGCGCGTGCTGCTCAGCCTAATAACAGTGCCATCAGAATAGGTTGGTCCAACTGAATCGAACGATCGACCTAAGCATCCACGCGTAGCAAGTTCCTGCCAGGCATTCTGTATAAGGGGCAGACTTCTTGATGTTATTCAGGGCACCCTCAAGAGGTTCTAGGTTCAAGCTGGCACCAAAGGACAATCAAGTATATAGCATCCTACCCATTTGAGCCAGAATCAACACGATTCCGGGTAGATGGCGGTTATTAGGAGAAGTCCCGACCACAAATGGGCGCGGATATCCACCTTCTTGATTCTTTACATGGTTTTGGGTAGAGTGACACATTTAGTAGAACTTGCTTACAGTCACCCAAGCACGTTGCCACGAGCCCCTTCTGCACAAGGCCCTGTGCATGCCCAGAATCTGCGGACCCAAAAATTGTTGTTGTTTCAGAAGAGGCGCCTCTAAAGAAGATGTTTTGTTGGAATCCTGCAGAGGACTTCTCAGATGAGCGACTGGAGGGGTTTGATTGGTATTTGATTTCCAGGATGCCATTCTGGCCAGCCGCTGCGCCCGGAACTCAGAGCATATGGGGGTTGCTCAAAAGAAAAGATCCTTTACATGGGATGGCCGTTGGGGGAAGCCATTGAAAAGATGCTATTTCCCACTACATGGAAAAAGTTGCCCATGGTCATTTGGGGGGCCAGGAATATTGATCCCTCAATTCCGAACTTTCCCACTGAAAAATGGAACTGGAAGAGTTGCCCACCCCTGGAAATTCATTGATAGCTCCCTCCCACGCTACATGTAGCTTGCCGTTGTTTGTTTATTTTAGCTTGGGGCCCTTTTTTGTCTACATTTTCCAATCAGTCAAAGAGAGGAAACAAAATGTCGTTGTATGAGCACCGGCATCCCTTTAGGTGTTTTGGCTTTTCCGCAGCGGGTTACTCCCGTAGGCCCCTTTCGGGCGCTGCCTTTGAAAGGGGAGAAACGATCTCTGATTGCGATTTGAGCCCCTGGCTTTTGTAGCAGGTTCATGGGAAACCCCTCCTCAACCACCAAGCCACCCATCCAAACCACCAACTGGGGGGAAGCTGAAATCTTGACCCCCCCCGCCACTATGCGTATCCGACATGTATTTTTTCTTTCGGGAACCGATAGGCCACCCAAAATGGATACCGGGCCCCCTGATTGACCCCACACCACCCAACTTCTTCATGGCATTGAGTTTAGTCAAGGATCTTCTTGGAGGGACCCCTCCGCAGAGGAGCGTATCGTTCGCTCCATGTTGGTTCCCTGGCGAATTTGAATGGAGGCGCAATGCAAATGGGTGTGTGTTTTTGCAGGGTGCTCTTGTGCAGCTCGATTCAAAGGGAAACCAAAAGGGAAGGCACAGTTTGAGGAATTCTCGCTATTCTGTCGAATACCCAAGTGCAAGAGTTGCTTTCACTCAATCGTCAAAAAACAACGACCGTTGTTGCTTGGACATGATTTACACAGGCCGGCCAGTGAGCAAACATCACCTACGGCTCGAGAGTCTTTGAAAGCAGTGTGTAAGTGTGTGTGTGTGTGTACTTGAGGCCTAGAAGTATAAGCTCAGTCGATGGCACCAACGTTGCATGAGTTGGATGTTGGTCACGAGTGGCTTTACCATTGAAGTTTCCTTGGCATGGGTATGTGTCAAAGACCGGGACCCACACTTGGGTTTCCCTTTGCAGCAAGGTGAAAAGGGCTACCTTCAAACAACATACCCCCCCACCAAGAAAAAGCAGCCCTTTCTCATTTGCCTGCGTGAAGTCTATGAGGTCCTCTGAAGGTCACATTGGTTGAGTGATCCACAAGTGCGTCGGACGCAGCTGGCAGGGCCGTTACTTTCAGAGATGATTCAGAGATGACGCCATGTGCTTGATCCTCCGCAACACAACAAAGACTAACTGGACCATGAATTGTTCAAGTTGGAGTCGTTTAGGCATAAGTAGAAGTATCCTCAACAATATGTGTCCAATCATGTGCGTTCCAATCCATGATAAAACTTGTACACCAACATGTATTTCCCTAAACT